TTCTAGGGAAAATGAAAACTTCACTTGCTCTAATAAAAGCATCTACTCGCACAACTCAACTCTTGTTAGCCTACATTTGCTCTAGAATAGCCACAGTTAGTGACAAATAGCTTAGGAGCAGTCAAAAGAACCATGACTGATTTAATGAGCTATTTGCAGTTTTGCTGTACAGGCTGCGTGCAGTTAGACATACATGGCTTAATCTTGAGATGGACTTATTTGATTTTGGCAGTTCATTATTTCAGTTTGTTATTTTGCCCCAGGCCTTTAAGGAGAATCTTGTGGTCAGACCCGGAGATTTATTGTTTTTCTTTCCTCACTAATGGTTTCCTGGAGTAAACATTTTTTTCCTGCAAATAATTTTAAAATCCCACAAAGTACAGATAAAGAGGGAGCTTCCTGCCCAGATAAGGAGAGAGAGTCCAGTATAGGCTGGTCGTTTCCACCAAGCATGAGCTCTGTCTCGTTACACTGTGAAGCAAAAGCAGGTCAGTGCCGCAGGGACAACCCGATCACTTTGAGAGAAATGGGCCACCGGTTCCTGGTTACTGTAGGTTCCCATGGATACAATGAATCGTATGCAGTTAGGGTTCCCCATGAACCTGTCAGTTCTCTCTGATTGGTCACAGAAAAGCACTCTTCCCCTAACTCGAATGTTCAAGGTTCTAACAAACAGGACGCTTCCTCAAACTTTGTCACCTCTGAACATGGAATTCTGCCCCTCTGGAGGACAAGTGACAGGAGGTCTCTTCAGAGACTTCCCCCTTTCTTGTTCCATTTATATTTCAGCTACCATTTATTCCTGACTATTATGTCGATAGCCACCATGCTTTGGCACTTCAAAAGAATGGAAGCCAACAGATACTGACAAGATTGGGTGGCTAACATGGTGCCACAGTGATAGCGTTGCAGCACAAGGGCCCTGGCTTTAATTCTGGACCTGGGGTGCTCTCTTTGTGGAGTTTGTATGTTCTCCCCATGTCCATGTGGGTTTACTCTCACAGTTATAAGAGTGGAGGTTAATTGGCTTCGGGGAAAACTGTCCGAGGTGCAAGTGAACTGCGTGTGCCCAGTGATGGACTGGCATCCCAACCAGGATGTATCCAATCTTGTGTCCATTGCCTGCCAGGCTTCCCTTGATCCTGAAAGGGATAAAGTGGCAAGAAGTGGATTGATATAATTAACTGGGTTCCACCACAGCTTGACCATCCATCTGACTCACTGACCCAATAGAAACTAGTTTTGAGACAGTCATTCATAAACGTTCATTCAAAACAGCACCCCAGATATATAAGACTACAAAGAGTGTAATCAAAGCCGACTACAAAGAAACGATGAAGGCTTTGCAGTAAGAAACTGAATTTATCTTGTAGGTTTTTTAATTGGAAATAAGCTTTTGTTCCTAATTTGAAGGTATAAAAACTCAGGCAGACTCCATAGATGGGGAGGAGAACCAATGGACCCCTGCTTTGTTTTCTTCCCTAAGCGTGTGAAGAATTTACTTTAGAAAAACTGGGGGCCTGGGACATCATGACAGAACCAGTTATTTGTAAACTCCTGTGTTGTGTTCGGACAGAGGTCAGAAGTGTCGCAGGCATTCCTTCCTCTAGCCACCCCCACGCTTGTCAGCAGCTTTCCTGTCCTTCCTGGCTCTGCCCGCTCCCGCTGCCTCTTCCCAGAGGCCCCCTGCCCTCCCAGCTCCATCTCCAGGTCTTCTCAGAAACATCTCCTACTCCCCGTGAAGCATGACACTGTGCGCAAACAGACTAGGAAACAGGAGACTCTAGGAAATATTCATTTGAATTGTAATTCCTGACTTGTCAATATTAATTTTCTGCAGGAACTATGGAGCAACCTTTGCCAAATTCTTTCTACACGAGACTAATTAAAAACCTAACACAACATAGTCTGACAGTTCTTGGAAGCATGTTCATCCTGGAAAACAAAATTACTCCCAATCCATCCCAGATGGAAAAGTGTAACTGATTAATAAACCATAGGCCCTCTCCTGACCCTTCACTTTGTCAGACAGTTTTCATCGTTTTTTAGCTTGGCACTTCCTTTCTTTTACAAATGACGTGCACATTTGTAAGTCACCAGTACGTTTATAAATGGGTTTCCTCTGGGTGCTCTGGTTTTTTTCCCCACAGTCCAAAGTCATACTGGTAGATGAAATGGCTTCTGGTCTGATGGTGCTTGTGTCTGTGTGCCTGTTATGGAGTGGCATCCAGTCCAGGGTGTATCCTGCCTTGAGCCCATTACTTGCCAGGATAAGCTCCAGCTCCCTGGCAACCCTACAGTACATTGGATAAAGCAGTTATGAAACATATTGATGAATAAAAAAGGGAATATTCAGAAAGAGTTAATAGATATCAAATTAAAATTAAATAATCTATATTCTGTCTGTATTCTAGCCTTCTGACAATACCAACCCCATTCTCTGGTCCTCTGACCTCAGCCTTTGACTCCAGTCCACTGTGTCAAACAAAACAAATTTTCTTTACGTGTCCAAGGACAAAAGCTATTTTGTAGATGCTGCTGAGACACACAAGTATACTGTTCAAATCCCCACAAAAAAATTTTTGAAGACAATATTCACCTCCAGGAACAGAGTTTGAGACCCCTGTTGTGAGGTTATTTTTGCTGGACATTTTTCATTTGTCTGAGAATATAAACACATAATAGGCTTCACTTATAAACCCTTCTGGCAATGTTTTTCCTGACAACAGATGACCAATGAAGTGTCTGAATGTCAACAATGAAATGATTTATTAGGTGCTGCTGATAAGCTAAAGTACACACTGGGCAAAAAATACAAGTCAATATCTAAAGATACTGAACTATTCATTTCTTCTATTGTAATCCAAGATTTCCAACCCATTTGTTAGTCTTTCTGTTAGTCTGCAGTTCAAGATTACCAAGACAGAATATTTCTCATTACGCGTACAAGTACAACATACTGCCTCCGTGTTTCAGGATTAAGAACCTAAGGTATTACAACAATATTTACATACAACACAGTTTTGGAGTTTTGCCCTTTTTATAAAACCCTGAGAGGTTAGATGAACTGAAATCACTGCACTGACTAGCAAGATGTAGTAAAATTACTGAGACTCTATGTAGAGAAACAAAATATAGGTTAAGTCTCAGGTATGGCCACAAGCCTGAGTACACATTGAACTACAGCGCTATCACTCAGCTCCACTGCTGTGTTAACAGGGCAATCAGATCAGTCATTTAAATGTTAACAGGCAGGATTAATGGGACAAATAAGGTGATGAAGCAAATTTCAAAGGCCTTGTGCTAAATACCCCTGCTCTATCCTAACTCTGCTGTATTTTAACAAGGAGTTTAAAAAGCCAGAAAATGAAAAGTCAGCTAAGGGACACCCTAGAAAGCTTTGGATCCTCAGTTACTGCATCTACGACAACCTTCTACAGCCAAACAGTGGCTTAGAGAGCTGAAATAATAAAGGCACATTAACACATTAGGGTTGTGTCTTTTGAAAAAGCTTGTGGTTCTTATAGAAATATGACCAGCTTCAGTCTCTTGGCTCTTCCATATGAAGTCTCGCCTTTCCTTGGCTAATTCCTGTTTCTCTCTACGTCTTTTGTAAACATGCTAAAAATTTCTTCAGGTTAGAGCACAGATTTCAAAGCCTGACAGCACACAAAGCGGTATCTCTCCTGAGCTGTGAGAGCTTCAGACAGCCGCTGTACATGTAATAGGAATAAGGTGTCCCAGTGTTCTCCATGCCCCTATATGGTCAGATTCCTGCCTGACTTGCAGTTCCTTTCCAGCTCTGCCTCATTCCAACTGAACTAAAAAAAAACTTGCTGCTTATGACACTTAGTTGTTTGGAACCAAAGTCATCCGGCTGAGATACGCTCCAGTTGTCTTCCCACACTAAATGGACACACCGTCTCGAACAGTGGAAGGTACTGTGTGCTTTTCTGGACCCGGGTAAGCTCAAGAGTATACACTAGAGCACTCTTGTCTAACTTAAACCTCTTCGGTGACTTGTAGAAAAGTTTGTGCATTGTTTTAAAACCACCCCACTACTGCTTATTAAATGTAAAAATTGTTGAACTATTTTTAAAAGCTCCACAAACAGAATAAAATACAGAGTAATCAGAAAATGCATAAGCAGATCTATCACAAAAACACTGAGTTTTGTTTTGTGGTTCTGTTCTGTGTGGAGCAGGGCAATGTGTATTAAAATACAACAATATAGTTAATGAGTATTTCAAGTTGTCATGAAAAGAGGAGACATATACACTAGAATTGTTTTAGAAATACATAAATAAATAACAGCTGTTTGTAAACAGGCCCGAGACAGGCTTGATGAGGAACTTCTACAGTATAACAGAGCCAACAGCTACACATTCAGGGTTGGAGTCATTAGTCGATGTCTCTGCTATAAATCTGCCACAACTAAATTATTGGTGGCCAAGCAACTCATCCTTGGAAAAAGGAGGACAGCTCAAAGATAAAGGCACACACATCAGAAAACATCTATGTCAGCTAATCTTTGTGGTTTTCTAAAAATCACTGAAAAGCAAAAATGTTAATTACAGAACTCTGTCTTGAAATAAAATTTCCTTTAAATAGAGCAAGACTACAACAATGCTCCACAATGCTTCCTTGCTATTGGTATAAATATGAGGCTCTGCATGAATCCCAAGGTCTATCTACTTCACACCATTGGAATTTGCCATTTTTATTTCCAATTTATTCATTTCAGGGAGGTTATTTAAAGACTTGTGACATGGTCATCACTTAGCAAACTAACAAATTTGACCAAAACCACATGACTGTCGAACAACTGCCTGGGTCCCTGTTAATTAGACCACAACTTTTCTGGGCTCAGCCAGGCTGTGATTGTGGTCATGATCACAACAGAAAGTGGCCGAGAGGCTCAGGGGAGCAGGTGCAGTAGTACTGGAGAGGCTTCTCTGCTCATGGAGTGACAGGAGAGGCTGGAGGAATGTGGGACTCACCCTTAGGGCCTCAATTACAAGATCCCTTGCCTCCAGCTCCCCCTCTAGCACGCTGAACAACATCAGCAGCTCCGGCTTACTCAGGTTGTCCATATTCATCCTGGATTCCTGCGGGAAAACACCCAGAGCGTTAGAGAGAACCTTTCTGGAGAGGGCAAAGGAGCAGGCATTAGTGTAATAGCCTATTAAGAAATACTGCCAATAATTACTCAAATTTTTTACTTGTAGCAAATGTTCAATCCAAAGAAAGAGAGAATAAAGGGTGAGATATTCCTCAGTTGCTGCAGAGACAGAAAAACAACCTCAACTCTGAAGCTGCATTCAAAGGATGCAGCACAGACATCTGGGTGCTCAGCATGACACACAGTGAGTCTCTGAACCTGCTGGGGTTAAGCCCTCTTCCAGTAGCACTGGGACCAGCAGCCATATCATCCTGCAACTCACAACTGGCAGCCCACTGAAGCTAAGCAGGTGTGAGCCTGGTCAGTACCTGGATGAGAGACCTCCTGCGAAAAATTAAGGTTGCTGCTGGAAGAGGTGTTAGTGGGGCGCTCACTGTGTGGGTCCTAATGCTCCAGTATAGTGATGGGGACACTATACTGTAAAAAGGCACTGTCCTCCGGATGAGATGTTAAACCAAGTCCTGACTCTCTGTGATGATTAAAATCCCAGGGTGTTTCTCTAAAAGGGAAGGGATGTTACCCTGGCCAAATTTCCCATTGGCCTCTACCAATCATGGCCTCCTAATATCTCTGAACTGGCTTCATCACTGTTTTACTCCCCACTGATAAATGGTGTGTGGTGAGTGTACTGGTGCACTATGACTGCTATTACATCCTCCAGGTGGGGCTGCACATTGCTGGTGGTGGAAGGGAGTCCTCATTTACCTGTAAAGAATTTTGAATGGAGCATCCAGAAAAGCGGAATATTAGTGTGAGGAATTATTATTATTGCCTACTATAAATGTACAGTACAGTGCCTTGCAGAAGTACTCAGACCCTTCCTACTGTATGGTGTCCCATTCTGTGAAATTACAAAAAAAATTACTGTATGATGCATACAGTATACATCCATTTTCTAATTGCTTAATCCAATACAAGATGGCAGGGGATAACGAATCATATCCCATCAAGCAATGGAAGCAATGTTGGATACATCCTGGATGAGGCATCAGTCCATCACAAGGCACAGACACAAAAGAAACTCACACCAGGGTCTATTTTCCCAGAAGCCAATTAACCTACCATTTTGTCTAAGGACTGTTGAGGAAACCTCTGCACCCACGGGTGAACATTTAAACTCCACACAGATAGCATCCCAGGAATTGAATCCAGGGCCCCAGTGCTGCACAGATGCATGTACAGTTTTTAAAATACTTTATCCAGAACCTCAATGCTCAGACTAGATAAAGACTTCTAAGGCTACATTACAGTAAATGTAAAATAAAAAACACCAAAATGAGTTTTTTGATGAGATTGCTTATGTGTTTGACCTATCATCACAATCTTTGATGCAAATAATTAGATTAGGTTTGCTGAACAGGGCTTGAATACATATGAACAACAGAAAAGTCATGTTTGCATATTAATTCTATTTGTACTTCTTTCTTTTTGTTGGTTTCTTGCTTTGAATTGGTGCTGAAGGTAATGTACTGTATATATCAAATATGAATTTCTACTTCAAAGTGTCCTGAGTGTAAGCTTTCAAGGAATAAAACGAAAACACTGGTTAAGTGGTGAATACCTTCTCAAGGCACTGTAGTGCTGGGCAGATATAACAATTCTTCTAGAACAGTTTGGAGCACTCTCGGAATATGTAGCTCTGGCAGTAGTGATGGAAACTACTATGTGGAAGTTTGACCATTTGGGGTATTTAGGAGACACAATTGTTATTATACACAAGCCCATGGTACCCACTGTTCCTTGCAGTAATACCAGCCATTCCCAGCAGATTATGCCACAGAAATAGCTAGAAAGAGTACAGAAACAGTGAACAGTCTTGAGGAGCAGAGAAAGTCTAATAAACTGAAAGGAATATGCGCTGGGGCATGATGATCTCACTGTCATTGCCAAATAGATATTTATCACAAAACCAGAGAGCAAAGCAACATGCATCTGCACAAGAGTGCTTCTGCTCACTTAAGAAAATGGGTCCCCTCTTTTATTTTTCTCTCGATGGTAACAAGTCTTACCTGCGTGGGCAATTTTCAGCCGTCTCAGCACCACAGTTTGTGTGCTTGATTGTTTTTATTACCTATGCAAGGTCATGCCCAGAGTCATCAGGTTGTGTGGGAGAAAAAAATAAACGCTTTTCCAATTACGTTTTGTTTTGAGAACACTGCAGAACAAACAAGATGCCTTCTGTGTCTGTCTAGATTCATTACAAATGAAGTCCAAATCCAGCTTTAGGCACAGGTCCTACTAAATTAGCTACCCTCTGCGGTTGCGGAACCAGTTGAACTTGATTAGAATTGATCCGATTCTGCTTGTTCTTTCAGGTCTAACAGGGCGGGTGGTTTTGTTCAGCGGCTTGGACAAGCGGTTGGATAGAAATGTTTGGAACGTACTGCTGGCGGACTACAGAAACCAGGCCTTCTTTTTTAGCACTGCACCGAGTCTGCTGACAGGCCTGTGGCATCTGGTCTTTAAACATGCAAACCGCACGCTAACCAGGCGACGTATGCAACCCGATGGTTTGAATCAGCACTGTTTATTTTATATTGAGCAATGGGGTTTTAAGGTTAGGGGTAATAACTACTGGAGCAACTCAGCCTTCTTCATACCAGTTGGAGGATCCCCCATGGTGCAGGAAATAAAGATCTATCTCTTTGAATAAACTCTCTGACCTCACACTGTCGCAGAATTTTGTTCTGTCCTACTCTTTTAAATCAATGGTTTCCCTTTGTCATGCAAAAATACAATTCTATGGTGATCTTGGACTTAATTTTTAGCAATTATGTTGAAGCTAATAGCTAATCCCAGTAGATCTGTATATTGTAGCACAGAAAGCAGCTTTACAGATATGTAGAGAGGAACAAGTGATCTTAATGATGGATGCCTCAATTAGACTAAAATGGTAAATGTAACAAGTTTTGTGAATTAAAGATGATAAATGACAAGTGTGGTTTCTTCTCACCCCAACTAAGCCGTATTAATAAAATGGTTATAAGAATAGACAATGCTAGAGGAGGCATTGCATATGCTGTTCATGCTTACATACCGTATATTGTAACTCCTGACTGTGTCTAAGACATTGTGTATGCTGCAATCACACACTCGAAACGGAGCACACTCAAACATGGCAGGACCAGGCACCAGAGCCTTGTGTGTCATTCAGGGATTGATGCAGATGCTCAGGCAAACAGCTGACACGCGTTATGAAGGGTACAGAAGCATCACAATTAAAAAATAATTAATAATTCCACTACGTGTTGGGTGGTGCTTGTTTTACTGGGGCCAGGCTCTGAACAGATTGCTTGACAGTTTTATTTTAGTATAAAGGAATTATGGCTTGCAGATTGCTCAGATGATCAGAAAATCCATATTTCTAGCAAATGTGATTAGCATTTGGCAGGCATATCATCATAAACGCAGAACCATGCTAAAGGCATGTACATTTTCTTAATACAGGGTGGATGTCCAATTGAAACAGATGCTGGAGATGGGCATATAGTGTTTATTTTAAACACCTCCTCTCTGGGTCTCAAGAGTATCTTGGGCACTTGAAATTATTAACAAACCAGGATTAAACCAGGACAATATCATACTTATATTGTTTCTGACAGGGACACACACAAAATAATCCGAAAAACCGTGACGAGTAAATTCTGGATATCTGGTAACCCTAAATATTCAGTACACAGGAAAGTAAATACACAAACATTCTGAGGGCTCATTCCTTCTTAAAAATAAGAGAAACACAGTGCCTGACAACTGGAAAACTATGAATCACCATGGTGGCTAATAGCTAAAAAAAGATTAACTGTACTCTTAAAGTTTCAAAGGGGAACCCTACTGTAACTTCCCTTCCCCCCCAAATAAAAAATAAACAAAGCCAGATTGCTCACAAAATAGGTTAAACTATCAGACACAAACACGGAAATCAGTAGAGAATAAGAAAATCAAACTTAACTGACTGTGGAAAGCTCTTCAGCCAGTCTAAACATAGAACAGAGAACCTAGTTAGGGCCTTATTAAGATTAATCAAAAGCCTTTCCAAAGGAAATTTGGTGTGATCTTTCTCAATGTTCTCTGCAAAACCACACAGTTGTCTGAGGTACAAACCTTACTCATTCATCTAATTCCATCCCTTACTTCTGCATAAAGGACTGCTATTTCTTTCCCCTCCTCTTAAACACTCACTGATGAGTCTACTGAAATATGATTAAGGATGAGGAAAACGATTATTTTTTAGAAAAAAAAAATTGCACCAAGAAAAAACTATATATACATACAGCTTATGACTAGACAAGTCCACACATCATATTTTTCCCCCAGTGTTTGCAGTGACTCATGAGTTTTAAAGCAAAAGCTCTCAAAAGCTAATAAGTATGGTTTCTGTATAAGTTGAGGTAGATGAGTCGAAGTTTCCAGATAATGACTTCATTGCGAGTCTGCAATGTAACACTATACTGTACAACAGCTGTACAGTAAAAGGTAGAATGCGGTTGTGTTTTACTTCAGGCACACGGAGATTAACACACTGAAGTGAGCCAAACATCCACTTCCAAGACAGGTCTGGCCACTTTCTACTTGCTTGTCTCCCATTAACTTTACTATATGAGCTCATCCGGATCTGTGTCTGGACGAGATCATTTTCATTGCTCTTTTAACACTGGTTAAGCCTTGGATAAAACGGGATTACTTTGATCTCATTTTAGAGCCAGGCATGTGACTTGACCTTTTGCTCATTAACTCTTCGATTACATGCAAATCAACTGAAAGAAACAGTTCCATCCCACACGACTGCAGCCAATTATTATCCAGGCTTCATGACGTAATATACACTGACACAACCCTGAATTCCAGTCAGAATGACTTGGGAAAAGCACTGATCTACTGGAGAAATGTTAATGTAGTTCTCTTCTTGCAAGACAAGGTCCACCTAGA